GCTCGCTTTCAAGGATGGCCGTCGCTTCGAAATTTATCCGGTGATCCAACGTCTCATGGATCTCACCCAAGCAGACCATGTGGCAGTATTGAGTTAGGAAATCGATTCAATCAACACTTAACAAATTTAGAAACTAGCGCTGAGACGTTGGATCACCGGATAAGCCATCCAGCCACCGAAGCGACACGATCTGCCTTAAACACTAGCGCTCATATACATTTCCTCCACTTCCCTTGAGGCACCAATAAGGCCATGCTCGCCCAGTACCTGCAGACGAAGCGTCTCGCTCTAGTGATTGCACCCCTATGGAGGGCTGGTAGTTCCTGTTGTGTTGTGATCTATACCACAAAGATGAATTAACGCGAAAGAGTTGATGCCAGCAGTGAAACTCCAGCGACTCGCATCAGAATGCCTGAAACAGAACACCGACAGGCATGGATGGTGCACAGTACAGCCTAAGTAAACTCGTGTTGCATGTGCCCGCGGTTCTCGTCAGAGTTGTAGCAATCTGAGAGATAGATTATAGAGCACTATGCTCTGAAAAAGACCGGAGTTCGTTCCTTCATCACTGTACGAGGCTGCTCCTGTTCGCACCAGCGTAAGTACTGCGAACATGAGTGAACTTACTAGTTTGAACTGTGTATACATGGCATATCTATGCTGCGCAGTAAAGTATTCTGTACAGTTCTGAATCTCTTGACATAAAGAGAAATTACTGCTGCACGCATGCAAACAATGCAAGACACCTTGCCGCAACGCTATCGTTTCTGTTTTCTGGTGCGTATACGCAGTGAACAAGCTACTTCTATGTTCAGTGATGCCACTTAGGAACCACAATTTGGAGCATTTTTTTGGAGCACAAAAAATTAGAATTTGAAGCATTTTGGAGCACTAAAAGATCAATTTTGAAGCAGTTTGGAGCAACCGGTATCAGTTTTCAAGGTTGTCCAATATGGCGAGAAGTGCATAGCAAAACAAGTTTTCACAATATTATGAGAAACCTTGTTTGGAACTCATTTTGGAATTTTCATTATCATTTTGTTATCATTTTATGTTATGTTTTGTTATGTTTTATTATCATTTTTGCAGTTTGTTATCCAGAGAAAGCCGCTTGATTAGATGTCTCGCAGTAGAAATGTAAAATGCCTGTGCACTTGTCCTGAAGCTCTTCTTTTCTTGGGGATCCCAGTTACGCATTTCTTTTTCAGTGTCGGAACCGATTTCCAAAACTTGCTTCAGCCCTTCTGATGAACCGACATCAAGTTGTTTCAACTCACTGCCAGACAAGTTGCAGTAGGCTTCATGCCTCATAAAGCGGCTCAGCAGCTTTTTTTACTAGCCCAATACACTCCGAGTGTACAATGTGAACAAGGGGCTCTTCTTTTTGGAAAACGGTTCGAAATTCATTGCTGTCAACATCTTCCAGCACCGATGCATTAAAGCTGGTAGTCCGAGCTGTGGAAGAGAGAAGATATGGAAGATTCAAACACAAATCTGACAGCGAAACAAGAAACGCTCACTTAAAAAAATAAGGCCCTGTCATTCGCACCATGCACAAATCTAGGTCCGGAACGAGCCGATCATGTAACAAGAGTACAGGCGCCCATTGTGTCAGCCAGCCAACATCTAACAGCATTTATCAGGCACAGACGGTCGGCTTGTCGGTGCATTATCACGACGCGGAGAAGGCAAAACTATAGTGACAATTGCCACATACGGGCGAAGTTGCCGTCACCACAAGCACAGCGTGAGCGCGCGCTATATCTGCTCTGCGCAACAATGACGCGCAACTCCATAGATAGACTTGCTACAAAATGTTTATCTTTACGCGAAGCTGCCTGCTCAAGGTCAGTCGTGCAAGCCTAGAATACAACTACACATGTCATCGGGCATATCGCATTGCCGCTCAGTGCTTCTGAATACAATTAGAACATAAATGCGTCATTCCCACGAAGCAGCCTTTCCCCACAAAGCTGGCCTTTTATGGTTAACGACGGCCACAAAAATATTAGCGGCAGACGCTAGAGCATTAATTTAGGAATATCTGCGCCATACAATTGCATCTTTTCACAGATAAATACGGATCAAGATCTTAAAGCGAAAAAGGCTTCCCCGTTTTTAGCGTGCAACTAGACGGTGCTTTTTGCTTGCTGCGGTCCAAGCAGTACCAACTTCACCTTGCTCACACGCCACACTTAAGAGAAAATGTCAATAACAGAAACTTACCTTTCTTCATCGCATCATATCCCACCGCTGACGGCACACGCGCGTAGTAGTAATGAAGAGTCGTCCAACAGTCGTTGGTGCTGGCGAGCCCAAGCAGCAGCAATCGATTCACCAGCACACTGCCCGCTTCACTTCCGGAGTTACAGCAGCACTATCTCCGCTATCACTCAATCCGTACTGCGCATGTTGCTGCTAGATGTCCTCCGCTGCATTTCGCATAGTTTTATCGTTGCCATGGAGGAATGGGTGCGCTCGGACCCCGTTGTAGGTTGTGGTGGCGGCGCTGGTTGACACCGCCAAGGCCCGCGAGAGCCATTCGGCGCATTTTGGTGCAATTTTGGAGATTTTTATCAGAATCGCGCAAGCATTCTCGTTTGTATCAGTTTGGCGCATTTGGGGCAGGAATGGAATCACTGTATGTTAGTAGATAAAGCTCTCGTCCCAGCTAAATTTTCGATTGAGACCAAGTGAACATTTCTAAACAATGATCACCTTGCGCTCACAGATTCCACGATGCAACCTCTGCAATTGGAGTACATTTCTATCAAAAGTCACAGTGCAACTGTAATGCCAACCAATGATGCGAGAAAATATGCCCGAAAAATAACGTGTGCAAGATCGTGTTGCCAACGCGCAGCATAAGTTACAGTAAAATAGCTTCTTGCGCATTGGAAGCATGCTTGCATGCACGCAGTAAAGTAAAAATGTTGACTAAAAGCTATCACGGCGTCAGGGCTGCTTGACATATAGAGCTTGACATAAAAATCTACACCATAGTCATGCAGTCACAAATATTCACACTAAAAATTCGCTCAGCAATGTAAGCAAAACCTTAATGTCATTATGAATGTACAAAGACATGCTGCGTATACCTATGATTTCCCTTTGTAAGCGCAGCCCTCCTTGACTAGTGAAACAAACTTCACCCTGACGAGGGCTATGCCATCTATGTTCAACAGAGGTAACGATGTCTTCTCCGATTGGGCGGGTCATTGCAATGATGCGTTGTCGAAGGCTAGCCCATTCAATGGAGTGACGAGAGGCCATTGCTCCAAATGGCCAGATCACTGAGTGTATTTTACTGTGATTAGTTTACTTTTACTTACTATACAAGCATACACATGGGAAGGGTGGGGGAGAGTCCCATAACTTTAATATATATGCACACAGTCTGCTCCATCTACCGCCCATAGTCTCGTCGCAGAGGAAAGCCGATGCCTGTGTCCACTCCCCTTCCTCTCGTCGGGTCAGTATTACCCCCCCTCCCCCTGAAAAAAATTTGTGGCTACGCCCCTGCTTGAAAACCTCAAAAAAGGCGCGATGCTCAATGCACCGCTGCACCACGTTGAGGCTGAGTTTCAGTGCATACTCCCTGTAACACCAACTGTATCACCAACAAGCAGAGGTTTCTCTTGAGAAGAATGTAAATACTGACAATGTCGACGTTGTGACTTGTCACATAAAATAATGGGCCACTTGATTTGGTAATTACTGTGTGCACATGCTGTCAATTATCAGGCTGTCAATTAAACCTCACATAATAAACACAGTGGCAAACAAGGGTCATCTACTGCGTGAAAACCTAAACAATAACGCTCGATCCGACACACCGCTGTGCCACATTGAGTCTGAGTTTCATTGCATATCCTTGTATCACCAACCGTATGACCATCTAGTTGAGGTTTCTCTTGAGAAGAAAGTAAAATCTGAGAGTATCAATGTTGTGAGCTCTCACATAAAATGCTGGGCCACTCCATTTGGTCATATCCTTACTCTGTCCGCATGCTGCCAATTATCAGGCTGTCAATTAAACCTCACATAAACACAAGCATGGGTCATCTGCTGCGTGAAAACCTTTAAAATGGCGCTTGGTCCGACGCACCGCTGCGCCACGTTGAGGCCGAGTTTCATTGTATACTCCCTGTATCACATACTATATCACCTGCTAGTTGAGGTTTCTTTTAAGAAGAACGTAAAGTCTGAGAGTATTGACATTGCGACCTGTCACATCAAAAGCTGGGCCTCTTTATTTGTTCGTTTCTTTACTCTGTGTGCATGCTGCCAATCATCAAGCTGCCAATAAAGCCTCACATAAACACAGTAGCAAGCATGGGCCATCTGCTGCGTGAAAACCTCAATAATGGCGCTCGGTTCGACGCATCGCTGCGCCATGTTGCGGCTGTGTTTCAGTGCATATTCCCTGTATCGTATACTGTATCACCTACTAGTTGAGGTTTCTTTTTTGAAGAACGTAAAGTCTGAGTGTATCGATGTCGTCACCTGTCACATCAAAATCTGGGCCTCTTCATTTGGCCATTTCTTTACTCTGTGCACATGCTGCCAATCATCAGGCTGTCAATTAAATCTCACATAAACACAGTGGCAAGCAAGGGTCATCTGCTGTGTGAAAACCTCAAATATGGCGCTTGGCTCGAAGCACCGCTGTGCCATGTTGTGGCTGAGTTTCAGTGCATACTCCCTGTATCACCAGCTGTATCACCATATAGTTGATGTTTCTTTTGAGAAGAACGTAATGTCTGAGAGTATCGAAGTTGTGACCTGTCACATCAAATGCTGTGCCGCTGTATTTCGTAATATATTTACTCTGTCTGCATGCTGCCCATTATCAGGCTCAGTGATATTCAATCAAATCAGTCACTGAGTGAGAGTGTTTCTGTGTTTTGTAATATCTCATAATAGTTTCTGTCTCCGAACACGAAAAACTCGTGCGGTAACTGTCAATCCAACAGTGCAAAAATGAATGAATTAAGTACCTTGAGGTGGTTCGACAGTAACCTTTGAGCCTTGAAGCCCTGCAACAGAAAAACAGAGATGCTCATCAGCCAAACACATTTCTATACATTAACAATGCGAGCTTACTTCGTTGGGTATTTAAAAACACAACTTGGCCAAGACAAAATGTTTTCAATACAAATGCCATATACTAGCAAGTGTAGCAGACACATATTTGTACATTTAAATACGGGATGGGGAACTGAGCGAATGACACCTGTCAATGCAGTCCACAATGCACGATGGACAGCACTGAGGCACTTCCAGCCCAATCATAGCAGTAGGCAGCTTTATTTTTGTCTGCGAGAAATGGCAGATAATCCAGAGCAACTTATGAGAGTGACACAGATACTACCTTGTAGAGTTTTGTCCAATCAGAATACATCAGAACTGTCTTTCCTAGTTGCACTAGTGCTGTTGTCGTAAGAAAATGACACACTACATAGTTGAAGAGACACCCTAGAATTAAATTGTTGTCGCTTGTTGCAAATAAAGGAGGAAGAAGGGGCAGTGGGCACGAGCACGAGCCAGGGACACTGGCTCGCTTAGCTGATCTTTTGACCTTCAGCGCAGCTAGACGATCCGGTCTGGGTTCCCTTCTTCATTTCTCACACTTCGTTCTGGTGCCGAAAGCCTCCCGGTCGTCTGGCCCTCGAATTTAGACAATGGAACAACTCCGAGTACAGCGCAGCTTCTACCGGAAAGCCATCACCTAGGCAATATCGACGCTCGACACCCTCTTGGTTGACTCGATGACCTCGGCTCATAGGCTCCAGGAGGTCATTGACATCATTGTAGCGAAACACACTCACCCCATCACTGTTGACAAGGAGATTCAAGCTGCACTACATGGTGAGGACCTGGAGGGAGACTTGACTATCGTTAACGAATACGAAGATCCTGTCATCTGTGCTCAAGCAAGGGTTCGCTGTGCAACCGCGCCGCGGCGGCGAACCCCACCCGCATCTGTCGCCGTCACAGCCATTCCACGCAAGGACCCTTTCACATGCACGTCGCAGCCGGTCCCGACATGGCCTTCGCCCAGCCTTCCGACTCCAACGACGCTTTCTAGCATCACACTGCCCGAGCTGCACATCTCTAGTTTCTCCGGAGAATCACGCGACTGGCAAAGATTTTGGGACCAGTTCTAAGCAAGCGTCTACACAACAACTGGATCCCGAAACTTGATAAGTTCCAATACTTATTAGCATACCTGGCTGGGGCAGTGAAGTCAGCCATTCGAGGCATTCACCTGACCGAAGTGAACTAAGACGTCATCATTCAAATCCTGTCGGACCGCTTCGGCCATCGCGACATGCTTGCTGACGACCATCTCGACAGTTTGCTGTCAGTCGCACCACTCCAAAGTTCTGCCGACGTCACCAAGCTATGAAATCTGCATGATGAAGTCACCTTCCACACGAACGCCCTAGAATGTCTCGGAGTGTCTCCAGGAGAATATTGTTTCGTGCTGCGGCACATCCTCTTGAAGGCATTACCTGCAGACCTCAGCATCCTCTAACGCCTACGGCATAAGGAAGCCATCCAAACTGAGAACGCCACAGCATCCCAGGAAGCCTGGTCTCAAGTGAAAGAACTCCTGAAAGTGCAAGTGGAAATACGGGAAGACAGCGGTCTCGCGGAACAGATATCATCGAGAGGCCAGAGGTCTTCGCAGCGAGACTTGGGGACAGCACAGCCACTCTTGCCCTCCACTATGTCTTTAGCAGCAGAAGTTCAATTTCTATACTCGCACCCATGTGTTTTGTGCACCTCTACCGAAGACGCTGTCCAGAATTGCTCCTACAGATACCTCAGGAAGAGATGCAGAAGCAGCTTCTCGAAGAAAAGCCATGCTTTCACTGCGGCAAATGCAACCATTTCGGCAATGATTGCCGCACTGCCAGAACTCTGCAATGCAACCGATACGCGGGACGGCATTCAACTTCTCTGTGCGACATCAACAACCTAACGAACTGTTCACAGTGTACCAACAACGCCTCGGTACAACAAGATCATGCACAAGTGTCCACCACCATCCCTTCTCGGGCCGCAACTTCGCTTTCAACCGGCTCTACGGCCCCTCTCGTATCGACATCGCAGCAGGCCGCGACTTCGCTTGCGACCGGCTTCTCGACTCCTCTCACTTCGAGGTCGGAGCAGGCCGCAACTCCACCTTCGACCGGCACCTCGACCCCTCTCGCATTGACATCGCAACGGGCCGCAACTTCGATTTCGACAGGCCTCTTGACTGCTCTCGCATCCACATCGCAGGCTGCAATTTCGCCCTCGACCGGCCTCTTGAACCCTCTCGCCTCAACGTCGGAGCAGGCCGCAACTTCGCCTTCAACCAGCTTCTCGACTCCTCTCGCTTACCAAGCCGCGACTTCACCGTCAACCACTCTCACGATTCCTCTCGCCTCCTCGTCGCCCCAGGCAGTGAATTCGCTTTCAACAGGCTTCACGACTTCAACACCAATTGCAACTCCAATAGGTTTTGGGTACATGCTGAAAAACCCGTCACTTTCCACGCGATTTACGGCGCTTTAGTGCGAGGATGTGCCCACAAAGCACGCCGTGGAGAGTTCGATGGCCAAGGCCTGAGTGCGCCATTGCTCGCGATGCCGGGACGGACGCTGACAATTGGCTACCGGCCACAAAGCACGTAGACGAATCTCAACTGCCTCTGAACGCGGCTAAGATTCCCGCTCTTGGCGACGTCAATGCCCGACAGAACCAGGATGCTTCGGCGTCATTATCATCCTTGTTGAACAAGGAAGAAGAAAAATCGTCATTCAGCTCGGAGTCTTCAGCCAGCTTGGATGCACCTGCGAGCAAGACATCCACTGAGGACTACCTGACAACTGAAGTGGTCAAGCAGCGCATGATTTCACAGCTACTAAAAAGTCTCCCAAAGCGATATCAACAATGGCTGGTGTACATGACTCTGAAGAAGTACGCGAATTATCAAGAAGCCTCACGATTCCATGAAACCATGCCGAAAGCCGATTCTTCTTGCTACAAGAGACGCAGGAAGAGCAAAAGCCCCTACTATGACCTCAAGATGGCTAACAACATGAGCAAGAAGTATTCTGCACATGATAGCGAAATTGGACGAATTCTCCCGCAGGACAAGCCACCACCTTTTTTACCTTTATCACCATTGGCTTCATCGAATCTATGACTGTGTCAAGAGCCTTCCAAGTTTTCAAGCAGAAGACCATTATTTTGGACTGACTCCCAGATTGCCGTGCACTGGATGTCACAAGATCCGGGACAAGACTAATACGGGAGAAAACGTGTCGCAGAAAAATAGCAGCAGCAGCACCGCCTCTTCCAGCACTATAGCCAACAGCAGCTCCAACAATCCCTCATTGAATCATTCGTATGCCGGCTACTATAGGACCCAAGCCTACGTGTACTATAGGAACCAAGCCTACCTGTGCCTACCTACTATTGACTGCACGAGGCTTCTCTCCCCTATTACTGGATCTGGCTCACCAATGTCCACCTCAACTTTCGCCGCTGTGCATCAGAAACTTGCTGCAATTTGCTGGCCGCGGGAGTGTGTTGCAAATAAAAGAGGAGGAAGGGGCGGCGGGCACGAGCACGAGCCAGAGGTGCTGGCTCGCTCAGTTGATCCCTTGACCTTCAACGCAGCAAGACGATCGGGTCCGGTTCCCCTTCTTCGTTTCTCACATCGCTCATATGAGATATGTAGCTTTTAAGCCGTTACCATGTATGAAATTTCTGATAAACCCTAAATAGAATCGCTATAGTGTCTTTTATACTCAACTGCCTCCTACATCAGTGTTTCTTATAAAAGGGCGTAACTAATGATACTTTGAATTGAGTTAATGATTATCACACTGTGAATACATTGTTTACACAGAGTGATAATCACTAACTCACAGTATTTTTAGTTTAACTCTTTTATAAAGAACACTGTCGTAAGACATTGATATCAGAGATACAGAGTGGAATCAGACGTCCGCCCGGTTGTGGCGGCCGCATTTCCGGTGAAGGCATAATGCTTGAGGCCCACATACTTAGGTTAGGTGCACATCAAAGAACATGAGATGATCAAGATTTCCGGAGTCCTCCCCTACGGCGTTCTTTGTAAATGTGCCCTAGTTTCGGGACATTAAACCCCCGCAATTATTATGATTCCTTACACAGAGTCAGTAAGCAGGTGATCCACTGCATTGTTAGTCTTCAAGGGCAGCAGTTTGGGCTTGTTGGTATGGTAGCATGTGGCATAGCGCTGTGTTCTCTTGAATGTGCCTTTTTTTGTCCATACGCTTCATCTAGCTACCATCAATTGTTACACTGCAATGTTAGGTTTGTCGTCTCTAGTTAGACTTCACATCATATCAGGTGTCATTGCCATTGTTGTCCATCCTCTATGCATCTCGAGTAGCCCAGCCGATACTCGTGACTTACGTTTTTTACATAATGTGCGAGCTACATCGCTAGGTGCTTCACTCTCTATATTGGTCCTTCTACAAACTTCAAAATTAAATTTTAAGCTGCACGTGTGGCTGATATTGTGCAAAGAGCACCTATACACTCCTGTCAGAACGGCAGGAAGGGGAACATGAAAAAATTCGTTAGCAGGGGTAGTGTTGAGCCGAGATTTCGACAAGCGGACTTGTCTTCCTCAAGGCTAGAACAGAACTGCCTGTACGCACCCAAAATATTAAAACGACTTCTTTTTGGTCGAGTTGGTGCTTACATTGCTAAAGTTCACTTGACTGTGGCACAAAATACATTTCGTGAAAAGGAGCGGAACAGAAGAGAAGAAAGTGAAGCTCCAAACCACCAACTGCTCAGCGACAGCCTGAGAAGCATACAGGAAAAAGAAAGAAGACATTTCCACGCATGCCTGAACAGCCAACACATGACGTGCAGCGACATGTGTTAAGACAACATAGTATTATCGAGAAACTGCAGTTCTGTCATTGACACAATTAGACTCTTTTTTGAAAATACAAAACTTCCAACAACATTCTAGCAGCTT